ACCATTGTTGTTGTTGTTAAGTGCCGTCGAGTCAGTTCCGACCCATAGCGACCCTGTACAGGGTTTCCGAGGCTGTAAATCTTTTACGGGAGCAGAAAGCCTCATCTTTCTCCCGTGGAGCGGCTGGTAGTTTCGAACTGCTGACCTTAAGGTTTGCAGCCTGATTCGTAACCACTACACTACCAGAGCTCCTTAAGCCCATTACCATAGTCAGCTGCGATTCGCATCAGCCCTACAGGCCCCGGTAGTCGTCCTGTAAGGTTTTCAAAGTTGTAATCTTTATAGAAGCAGACTGACATCTTCATCTTTCTCCTGCAGAGGAGCATAACGGATTCAAACCTTTCAGCTTGCAGCCGAGCGCTCAACCAGTACACCACGAGAGCTCCCTGGTAGCAGTCTGCATGATCACCAAGTCCTGCTGTGGTGTGGTAGGATAAGCACTGGGCTGCGAACCACAAGACTGGTGGTTCAAACCTACCAGCAGCCCCTCAGAAACTCCATAGAGGGTAATTATGAGCAGGAACAGATTCGATGGCACTTTAACAACACTAGCAATGTTTTGGTTTTTCTTGCTGAAGGGCAAATCATGCTCACACATGCCAGTTCCTTTCTGCTATGTGGCCCAAACACTACAGAAGAGCATTAGCTCAGACACATCAGACATGTACCTGCACAAAGGACAAGGGCCAGACTCAGTTCTGTTCCTGGGACTGCCTGGGACCACTCCTCCAAGCACGGTGCTGGAGTCTGGAGTTCTGTGTAAGTGGTCACTGCTTTCGGAGCTGGATGTACCTTCAGGCTGACCCACTAGGTTGGTCCTATCTCCATCCCATCTGATCAGTAAGCCTGGCACCTTATGGAGATGTGGGAAAAGCCCCAAATGCTGTTTCTATGGGCACTTTCCTTTATTAATAGTGATCCAAGTAAAAACAGCAAAACACTCCCATCCACCCAACTGCCATTGGGTCAATTTCAACTCATAGCAGCCCTGTGGAATAGCGTAGAACTGCCCCATTTGGCTCTGCCCTCACTAAGCTTGCATTCTAGAGGAGAAAAACTCTCTCACATCAGAGGAAGACTAGCAACTCCAAGCCACGCATGGAAATTGTGAGGCAGACGCTATGAGGGTGGTAGGTCTGATGGGGTAATGTCACTCTGGTTGGGGAGGATGTGGGAGGACAAGGAGCGTGAGGAGGCAGCTCCATGTGAAAGCATAGCACACGTTAGGTTGTGGGTTCATAGCCTGCTGCAGAAGTGGAGATACGATGGAAAGACGGGGTGGAAGCCCAGTGGAGACACTAGCAAGTGTGACCGCCATCCCTTGGCAACAGAAAGCAAACGGAAGGTATTTGAGATGATGAGTGGAATCCCAAACAAGGATTTTTAAGACGAGCCTGGCCGGGAAGGGTAGAAATGAATGAGGTGATATTTCAAGTACCTAGCAGGGCCATGCAGTGAGTAATGTTAAGGCTCTTCTATGCTGGACTACAAGGTCGGCGGTTCAAACTCATCAGCTGCTCCTTGGAAACCTTTTATTGGGTCGCTATGAGTTGGAACCAACTTGTTGGCACTTAGAAACAACAAGAAGAAGTTAACTCTAAGGAACGCTAGTGGCACTGGTAGGATAAACACGGGACTGCTAACCACGAGATCAGCAGTTCAAACCCACCAGCTGCTCCCTGGAAACCTTATTCAGGGTCCCTACAAGTCAAAACCAACTTGACAGCACTTAACAACAAGAAGAAGTTGGGTCTAAGCAGCCTTGGTGTTGCAGTGGTTAAGGATTCTGTTACTAACCAAAGAGTTGGCAGTCTGAACCCATTTAACAGCTGTGCAGGACAAAGACCTGGCAGATGTTTCTGTAGAGATTGCAGCCGAGAAAACCCGCTTGGGCAGCTCTCCTGGGGCACATGGGGTCACCACAAGTGAATAGGGATGCAACAGTACCTAACAACAAAAGCCAAATCTGTGGGAATGACTACAACACCTCATGGAAAGGCAAAGGAAGAAATGAGATAGGCTTTTAGTAACGAATTAAATACAGTTCTTCAATGAGTGCTGGGAACAGAGAGGTCGGGCCACCGCAGCCTGCCCCTGTGCCTTACCATCCATTTACTGTGGAACAGACTCACCCCTTTAGCTGACTCACTTCTCAGGCAGGAGAACGTCTGTGCCATGTATGTGGACTGACCCCAGACGTCGAAAACCAGTTCTTTCCTATGTGCTCTGAGCAATTCTCCAGTGGCAATGTGAAAAGACAGAGTAGCTCTGGCAAATGATGTACCACATTTGGAATCACATGCAATGTACTCTAAGTCTTAAGAGCAAGTCACTGTAACTACTGCCTCATCTTGAGAAGCCAGAAATGAGTCTCAATTAAGAGTTCTCCTGGGTTGACTGACCATAGCCAGACCATGGGAACTGAATGCCAACCAATCAGGAAGTAGTGATTTAGACAAAGAGAACAAGTGAATTCCTTATTAGAGATCACTAGTCTAATACACTTGCTTTGGGTTGGATTTCCAACCCTATGCCAGTTTGTTGGCATAACTTTGAGGGTTCCTACGATAAGCAATGGACTGCTAACCACAAGATTAGTAGTTCAAACCCATCAGCTGCTCTGTGGGAGAAACCTGAGGCTGTCTGCTCCTGTAAAGATTTACAGTCTTGGAAACTCTATAGTCAGAGTGGACAAGCTATAGAAAAGAGCAAAGTGGACACTGAAAATGGCTACAGGCAGTTGGGTAGAAGGTAGCGAGTCTATTAATTGAACACACCATCATAATGTCCAGAACATTTTTTTTTGTTGTGCTAAAATTATTGGTTTATATTTATAGCTAAAATGAACTGTCACACAGTTCTAAGAGTTTAGTTAGCCATGGTCCACTCAAAAAAGTGGCATGGGCGATCTAGCAGTATGTCACTCAAGATTTAATTCCTATGTCTTCACATCTGAAAAGCTGAACAGAACGAGGAGGTCCTATCACTGACCTCAATAGCTGTATTTAAAAAGCAAAAACAAACAAAATCCAGAGACAGGAACTGCACTTTTGATGCAATTGACAGCACACTGGTTGGAAACCGACACTGAATGTGACCCTACTATGAGCCACCTTGGAGTAGGAGTGGGGTTGGGGTTGGGAGATAAACAACGTGGCTGGGTCCCAAAGCCACTCTCAATCTCCACTGCCAGGGTCCAAGGCACATCTTGTGCTGTTGTGACTGCCATTGATTTTCAGTGACCCCATGTGTAGCTTTGCATGAATCACAATAGGGGCAGGGGTTAGGTGTTGTAAAGGAATTACTGTTTGCTGTAAAAGGATGGTATGTAAGGGGCCATTGGAACTGGGATCAAGCAAGTCGAATCCATGGGCGTGGGTGGGAGGAATGACATGCAGCTGGAACAGTATTTTCAATTCACCACATTGACAACTCCCAGACTTAGAGGCACAAACATGCTGTATAAGAAGGCTGTAGCTCCCCGTCAATTATAAACTTGTTCCAAGGCTTAGGGATCCTCGTGGTCGCCAGGGGACAGCGCTCCCAAGACACACAAGGTTGCTTAGTTTGTTTCCAAGCAGGTGCCCATGCCTTCAAATCTGCATTCTGATTAGGGAGGAGATACAAAACGGAGGCGTCTGTATGCTTCCAATTTCTCAACTGCATACAGAGATACTGAGGAGCAATCCCCCCAAATGTGCACCTTGGATACAGTGGAGGGGTACAGGTGATTTCAAAATCGTGCCTGCATTTCTGTTTCTTTCTATGGTGAACTTTCTCAAGGACACACTGTACTTACTACTAAATCCAGTTTTCTGATGATACATTTCTTACTTTTATTATATAAACCAGTTTTCCTGATTGCAAAACTAATACCCTTACATAGACCCACACACATTTAATATAACAATATAGACCTGTAAAAAACAAAACAAAACAGTAAAATCCCATGTACCTGAACAGTCACCTCTATAAACATCTGGATATGTTTACTTTTGGAGGTCTGCCCTTGGCATATGCCAGGCATAGAATATATATTAACTTTAATCAGAAAACTATACATAAATGCCAGCAACAAATCTAGGTAGATTCTTTTCAGCTTCCCCCTTTTCTTTACCAGTAAAGAACTCAGTGACAAGGAGACATCAAGGACTTTGGATTCGGCCCTTTTATTCACGAAGCACAGACATCAGGACACAGTCACCTGTGGAGACAGACGTGGCAGGAGCCAGGGGTGCAGCTGGTCACCTGGGCAGGCAGGCCAGGGAAAAAATGTTCCTGGCTAGGATGACTTCTCACAGTGACCAACCCAAGGACAGAGGAAGCTGAGTGACCGGCCGAGGGACTCTGAAGGTGGCACCTGCGGCTGCCTAACTGACAAGTCCAGTGACAAGCCTTGTCTCCTGAGTCCATGCTGTCACCAAGAGATGGCAGGGAGGCCTGATGAGGAGCCACGGTTTCCCCTCCTCCTAGGTCTGAGAACTTTGTAGTCAGACAGTGCAGCCAGGCAGGGCATCGAGCAGTACAGCAAGGACACGGTCAGCACTGGCAGACCTGGGCCCTGAGGAGCAGAGGAGTCTGGGGGAAGGTAGCCACACCCTGTGGCTCAAAAGCCACCGTGGCTACGTGCCAGGTGGCCCAGGGGAGGCTGCCTCACCTCCTGTCAAGTCAAACAGGCCACGCCAGGCTGAGAGAGGGAGGCTCATCCTGATGGATCAATGTACAACGGTTGGAACCAGTGAGCCCCAGCCGGGGCCCTGAGTGGCAGGGAGAGGAAGGGCTTGGTGGAGGGCCCAGCATGCTATCTGGGAGACAGAGCCTGTCGGGAAAGCTGGGTGAGGTGCTAGGCTAGTCTGGTTTGGAGACAAGCGGTCATGGCTTCTGGCTCTTGCAGGCGTGTGTGGTCTGGGAGAGACGGTGAACTGCTCTTGCTTGAAATGAAGTTAGGGGCCTGAGGAAGGAACAGAGTGGACAGTCACACCAGCCAGACCCATGCTTCCTCATGATGCGGTGCCGTGGCCCTGGCCATCGAATCTGTGAAGCCGCTGTCTCCTCATTTCTTCTTCTGGTGAGAGGTGAAACCCATAGGGTGGTGGGTTACTGCTGGCATTTCCTGTGGTGACAGTACAAAAGGGAAAATATCAAACTCGGCCCATCCGTCCTTCCGACGTGGACAGACCAGTGGTGCGCTGGGATGCTTGGGGTGGGGGGCCGGGAGGTAGAGTCAGTGTCAGCTTGAGCTTAACACGAAACAGAAACACAACAAACACAGTTCAATTTCAGCTGTCAATAGTAAATTTCAACATCAAGTAAATATTGTTAGTGTGGTGCCGCCCCCAGTTCTATTTGAGCTCATCTTGAGGCTTCCTGACAACGTTCGCTTTTTATTTTTCCTTCCACCCTGATCCATAACGATCACCATTGAACTTTCTTGTAATGTCTCAGGCTTGGGCTTTTGTTTTGTTGTTGCGCCCAGAAAGAACTTGTCACGACTTTTGATTTCCCTACCAACCCCCCTCATTCATTTGTTCCCCTTAAAAAGCCTCTGGCTGCTCGTTCCCCTCCCAGCCAACAGGAAAGGGGTCTGCTGGAGGCATACATGGGGTCCTGGGCCCCAGGGAACAGCGGTTACCAAGTTGGTCGGTATCTGAGCAGGCAGACAAAAATACAGATATGACGGTCAAAGAGCTGTAAGCCACTGTCGAAATAATGGTGGAAAAGAGTTTCAGAGCTGCAAACATGCTGGAAATACGGTTTATAATAATTTAAGAATCGATGCATTTGAGTTATCGTGTCAGGGAAGAAAGCTGAAAGTACCATGAACTGCTGGAAGAAGCAACACATCAGGGTTAGAAGCACAGCCAGGGGTGTACCTTAGAGGTAAGGATGGGCTGGCTTTGTCCCTGGTACTATGGACATGAGATCAGGAGGGACTAGTCCTGGAGAAGGACATGATATGACATAAAGTGGAGGGTCAGCTAAAACGAGGAAGACCCCCAGTGAGATGGAGTGCCCGAGTGTCAGCAGCGACGGGCGCAAACGTACCAACAATTATGAGATGGCGCAGGACCACACAAGGTTTCGCTCTGTTGTGCACGGAGGGTTGCTATGAATCTGAACCGACTGGATTGCACTTAACAACAAAACAATAATATAAGCTCGTGAATCGTGACACAAAAAACCTCCCTGTCAGCCATTGTTGTTGTTGTTGTTGTTGTTAGGGATCATCGAGTCGGTACCGACCCACAGCGACCTTATGCACAACAGAACAAAACACTGCCCAGTCCTGGGCCAACCTCACAATTGTTGCCACACGTGAGCCCACTGATGCTGCCACTTTGCCAATCCATCTCACTGGGGGGTCTTCCTCTTTTTCTCTGACCCTCCACCTTACCAAACATGGTATCGTTCTCCAGCAACTGGTCCCTCCTGACAATATGTCTTTAGTATGACTGTCGAAGTGTGGCCATCCTGGCCTCTAAGGAGCACTCTGACTGCACTTCTTCCAACACAGATCTGCTGGTTCTTTTGGCAGCCCGTGGCACTTTCAGTATTCTCCTCCAACACCACAATACAAAAACAACTGATAGTCCATGGCCTTGATTTCCTCTACTAGGCAACTGGGCAGGACTGTTACTGATGTCGCTGAGTCAAATTTGACACGGAGAAGCATGTGGAGCAAAAAGGCTCTCAGCTTTCACTGCAAATCCTCCTGGATGGTTTGTGCATCATATCAGCCTCACGTCCACTCATTCTCCCAGGCCCATCTAATCTCACAGCCTAGGTGGAAGCCCTCTGTCCGCCTTCCTGCACCTTCCTGTGGGTTAAAGCAGAAGTCACACACACACACACGCACGCACATGCACACACACACACTTGGTCAAGCAAGGCAGCTGGGGTGGCCTCCTCTAACTCTCACTGAGACCATCAGCTTGAACGGATCCGTCCTGGCTCTTCTCCAGGCTCCCTGGGGGTCAGTGTTATCCTGGGCACACAGCAGGCATCCAACAGACTTCACTCAATGACATCTGCCTGCGACTTCCAAAGTGCCCGTTACAGCAGACCACCTAGGTCCACGTTGCCCATGGCAGTGCTAAGTGCTCCACAAGCACTGGCCTCGCTGAAGAGGGTGGGTGAATACATGGCTTAGACTTAGAAGGCAAAGGACCTGCTCATTTGTCACTAGTAGTGGCTTCCAGATGCACTGGCACGACAATCATCATGACCATGGGGAAAACACGTCAGAGAAGGCAATGTCAAGTCGAAAGTCAGCCTGTCCAGTACGCAGCTGGAATTTCAGCTGTCAGACAGCGGGGAATAAAAAGAAGATCGTCAAAGGGTAACACGCTTTTTATGTTTTGCTTCCACACTGTGAAGTCAAACTAGGGATATCACTGCTGACGTCAGATGGATCTTGGCTGAAAGCAGAGAACATCAGAAAAATGTTTACCTGTGCTTTATTGACTCTGCAAAGGCTTTTGATTGTGTGGAACATGACAAGCTACGGATAACATTGTGGAGATTAGGTATTCCAGAACACTTAACTGTGCTAATAAGGAATCTGCCCATAGGCCAAGGGACAGTCATTTGAAGAGAATAAGGGGCTACCCGAATGATTTAAAATCAGGACTGGTGTGCACCAGGGTTGGATCCTTTCACCATACTCATTCAATGTATATGCTGAACAGATAATTCAAGGAGCTGGGTTCTATGAAAAAGAACATGGCATCTGGATTGGAAGAAGACTCATTAACAACCTGCAATATGCAGATGATACAACCTTGATCGCTGAAAGCAAAGAGGACTTAATATACTTACTGATGAAGATCAAAGACCACAGCCTTCGATATGGATTGCTTTACACCTCAATGTAAAGAAAACAAAAATCCTTACAACTGGACCAATAAATAACATGATAAATGGAGAAAAATTGAAGCTATCAAAGATTTCATTTTGCTTGCATCTACAATCAAGACTCGTGCAAGCAGCAATCAAGAGATCAAACAATGTATTGCATTAGGCAAATCTGCTACAAAAGACCTCTTTAAAGTGTTAGAGAGTCAAGACGTCAACTTGAGGACTCAGGTGTGTGTGACCCAAGCCAAGGTGTTTACAATCACCTCACAGGCATCTGACAGTTGGATAACGAGTAAGGAAAACTACAGAAGAGTCAATACATTTGAATTATGGTGTTGGAGAAGAATACTGCAAGTACCATAGACTGTCAGAAGAACAAACAAATCTGTCTACTTTGTCCAGTGAGAACGTGCAGCCAGAATGCCCCTAACAGGCAAAACAGGTGAAACTTTGTCTCTTGTACTTTGGACAGATTGTTGGGAGGGAGCAGTCCCTGGAGAAGGGTATCATGCTTGGTAAAGTGGAGGGTTACAGAAAAGTTGGAAGTGTCCCAGTGAGATGCAGCAACAATGTGCTCAAGCATTCCAAAAACTGTGAGGATGGTGGTGGTGTTCGTTAAATGCCATCAAGTGGGTTCCAATTCCTAGTTGAACTGTATAGGGTTTCTGAGGCGCAGCTGGTGACTTTGAAGTTCACAGCGCAGTGCTGATTCTATAGTGTAACACCAGGAGTCCGAGGATGGTATAGGACTGGGCATTGTTATCCTTCTGTTGTGCACAGCGTCGCTATGAGTTGGAATTTAATGTAGTGGAGAGAACCTCAGGCTTGTACATAAATGGTTTGCTTCACCTTTTGGGATCATGGGAGAATTTCATTTTCTGAAGCCTATGGGTCTATCCCCACAAGTCACCCCAGAGAGAACAGTGTAGACCTAGCCCTACACTCACTTCTGGTAAGTCTGAAGGAGTGAAATATGCCCACTTGTCAACTTTCATTACAGATGATGTTCAACCACATTGCAGGCGCCTAGGAAACTGTCATCATTAAGATTTTATAAATACTGTAAGGATACAAGTTTCACCGTGCAGTTTCTACCACATACTGTATCTGTAGAGGAATTTCTGTTTGTCCAAAACGAGAAATGCTTTGAAACAACAAACTCATAAATCAGAGTCAATATTAGGATATTGCTTAAAATGGATTTACACATTGATAGCCTAATCCTGCTTATCCTTTACCAGCAAGACTACTCAACAGTACTTCTGAGTGTCAGGTAGCATTTGACAACCAGCCCAGATGGGCCAGGGAGCTGTCAGAACTGGCCAGGGACCGAATCAGAAGCAAGCATGACGTGGCCAGGGCACGGGCCCATGGAAGCTCAGCAAGCGTTCAGACTCCCTCTGGTGTTCTCATCAGCTTTTCCTTAAAAGAAAAAGCCTGAGAATTCATGTTTCCATTGGGGGTGGGGGGTGGGGTGGGGAGGGGGAACAGGGAGGGGTTAGAGGAGGCAGCCTGGGAGGTTCCTGGGCCCCAGCTCTGAACAAGCAGCCAGCAGAGATGTTCTGTGGACTCGTTCAAGGGCGTTCGAGGAGAACTCAGTTCTGAGCTGACAGAAGAAATGCCACGTGTGAAGGAGGAAAACTCACATCACGAGGAACAAAACTGGCTCGTGACAGAGTTCTCCCAAGGTGCCTCATGTCATTTGGCTTTCCCTCCCAATTTTACAGATGAGGAAGCTAAGGCTCGGAGTATCCGGGACACATCTAAGGCCCCAACAGCAGGATGGAGGGAAGAAAAACTTGAATGTCCATCTGCTCACTGCACTTTGCCATCACTGGTGTGGTGCTGTGGGATAAGCACTGGACTGCTTACTACAAGGTCGGAGGTTCAAGCCCACCAGCTGCTCCTGGGAAGCCCTATACAGGGTTGCTATGCATTGGAACTTAACAACAACAACAACAAATACACTAAGCAGAGCTGCCTGCCACAATCCCTCACCTTTTAGCTAACACCCAGAGCATCCTTTCTCTTCATGGATATGTGGGGAATGGTGGGATTTGAAAAGAGAAAAATAAGAAGGTCCAACCCAGGTCGTCAGCCTATGGCAATGCTGTTGCTAATGACATGACTGCTCCCAGAGTGCTGCAGAGGGCCTGGGACATAACAATGACAACAACACGCAGAAGCCAGGTTTCTAAGCAGGGCTGGCTCTATGGGCATCTGACATCCTGCAGTAGTCATGCATCATGCTGATGG